TTTTTTGTCTTTTTCCGTGTCCGGCAACGGTTCGCAACCCTCAGTGTCGCCCCCGTACCGGCCCCAACCCTCAGTGTCGCCCCCGTACCGGACCGGGACCGGCAATGGGATCGCAACCCTCGGTGNTCCTGGCTTCCTTTAGAGTGAGCGATCCAAGAGAGTGCAAGGTGGGAACTGCAATACTATTTATGCCTTAGCCTCAGAAGTCACATACTTTCATTTCCACAGACCCTGTTATTTCTCCATGTCAGCCCTAGTCAGTGTAGAAGAGGACACACAAGCACACGAGTATTAGCAGATGAGGATCACTGGGGGCTATCTTGGGGGCTACCACAAGTATTTAGCCCAATGTTTATCAAAAGGGCTCAGTAAACAGTAGTTGCTATTACTATTAACTCATACATCTGTATTTCCTACTGGAAGATAAACCTCTTGAGAGCAGAGACCATGTCTTGGGCCTGTTTGTATCCCAAATGGCTAGAGAAGTGTCATGCATATTGGTAGATCCATACTAAATGTTGATGTCTCCATACATGAATGAAAGCTTGGAGAGGATTCATCTGAAGGTAGAGTCAGAGTGTATGGGAAGAGAATTCACACTCAGATGTTAAGTAGGATTCTATAACTCAGCTGTGTATCTGGAATTACCAACGTGTATAGAGTCAAGACCTGAAGGTTCTTCATAGTTTGATGCTTGAGTACCAAGGACGTTTGATACCAAAACAGCAGGTAGGAAAGAGGAAGTTCTCATAATTGTCTTTGGAAAAGAGGCCCTGAGCAATAATTTGATAGGGGGCGATGGTCCCTATCCCAGGATCTAAAGAGCAACTCCACTACTCTTTAATACCCTAGGCCAAAGCAGACACTGGAGCCTTCTGATATTTCGGTCATACTCAAATTCCTATCTTGATGACACCTCTGTCCTTCTATCAGGCAGAACAATTTCCCATTCTCAGAGATTCTGATGCACATTTCTTAGAGTTAATTAAAAGGTGCACAGAGTTTCCTGTCAGAGGCCGGCCTGGCCATTGCTCCCTCCGAGCAGGAGAGGGTCTGAGTCTGTGTGAGATAACCGATACTCTGAGCAATATTGAATTTCCAGACGTCTAGCTCGAATTGGAAACCTTGCTCCCATCCCCTGGCCTTGAAAGTTCACCGATTGTCTTTTCCCACAGACAGAGCCCTCTGTCCTTACTGGTACAGTGCTTGTGTGCCCCACTTTCCGACAAGAAGGCACTCCCATGAG